ACAACTTTAATCTTTTCTGCATTCATCATGCTGCTGCTTATTGGTCCAGTTGTGAGGAATTTTGTTTTATGTTGAGGTGTCATCCATACTGAAGGCTATAGTCTTTGGTCTTCATCAGCGCTTCAAATCTTCTTCACTTTCAGCTAGCAAGATTGAGTCATCTGCATATCACATTAATTACTAACAGTAAGGCTTGTCAAAAAAAAAAAAAAAAGGACAGTCGTAAGTGTGGTCCTTCATAATTCAAATAAGTTGTAAGTGGGGGACTACCTGCACTCATGCTTTGAGGATAAGGATGGACAGATACTGCCATGGCCTCTCTCATCCCAGCACGGCTGGTGGGGAGAGCCCTGGGGCAGGGGGTGAGGCCAGGGCCTGTTCCCTAGACCTCAGCCCTGCCACAGTGAGTTGGGCCTCTCAGGGAGAAGGGTGTCTCTGCCTCCCAGACACCTGGCTGCCTGATCTCCCCATAGTGACCACTCAAATAAATGCTCACTAAAAACGGCAGCTAAAGTACTTCAAGCACTTGTCTCCACTGTTCCAAGCACTGGCCTAAGTGCTCTGAAGTTCAGTTTGGCCGGGCCTCACGATAACCCTTTGATCTAGGTATCTGAGAGGGTGATTAACTAGCCCAGGGCCACACAGTAGGCAAGTGTGGGAAGCAGGACTCAGTTCATAACTGAGCCCCAGGTGTTTCTCCCACCTGGGGCTCCTTCTGGATTTGTCCGTCTGTCCTCTTGTTACTGTTCCCTGCCATCCACCATCCATCACTGAACGAGTATTTGAGTGGTCACTATGTGTTAGGCTCTGTCCTTGGCTGAGGGCAGAGGTAGATGAATGAATTCCTGCACTTCTGAAGCTACATTCTTGTAAGGGAAACAGAAAATCAATTAATGAGGAAACACACCGTATAATGCCAGTAGAGATGAGGTTCAGGGGAAGGGGTAGGGAATGGAGGAGGTGCTGTTTTAAAGTAAGGTGGTGGTAGGGCCTCCCCGAGGAGCTGAGATCTAAATGGAGGGAGGGAAGGAGCGCAGGCAAACCTGGGGGAAGGACAAACAGCAGAGACCCTGCCGTGGCAATGAGCCTGCCGTTGAGTGTTGCTTGCACAGAGAGCAGGCTCTGGTGGTGTCATGAAGGGGAAGAGGCTGGGAGGTTGTCAGCAGTGGACATGCAGGCCTTGAGGGCTGGAGTGTGCAGCTGGGATTTCATTCTCTGTGGTGGGAAGCCCTAGGGTTTAGAATAGAGACACAATGCGCTTTGATTTACATTTTTAAAACACTGTATCAGCTGCTGTGCAAAAAGTTACAGGGGCAGGCAGGGAGACCAGTTAGAGAAAAGAGGTGGTTCCAACCAGGGTGGAGCAGTGACAGTTCAAACAGCGTTCAGAAATCCAGTTGACAGGACTTGCCGTGTATCTGGGGGCTTACTCAGCAGATGCCCAGAGTTTGGGGCTGAGGGATAAGGGTTTGGGCCAGAAGTGGGTTTGATCTTCCCAGGGCTGGGAACAGTCTCATTACTCCTGGAGCTCCCAAGGGACCTGGGGTGGGGGGGAGTTGTCCCCAACCTCTCTTTTTCTCAGGGGCTGCCGGGAGGCCATCAAAAGGATTGCCTATGAGTTTGTCGAGATGAAGGCCAAGGAGGGTGTGGTGTACGTGGAGGTACGCTACAGCCCACACCTGCTGGCCAACTCCAAAGTGAAGCCCATCCCCTGGAACCAGGCTGAGTGAGTGACTTCCTGGGAGAGGCTGTGCTGAGGGGGCAATGGTGACCCCACCCTGAGACTGGCAGGCATCCTTGCCCCAGGCAAGACTTTGGTCTGGCCTCTGATCTGGCCCAAGGCCTCAAAAGGATGGGGTTTAAGCCTACCGGGAGACATGGTTCTCATCCCTCTCCTTGGGTGTATGCTTTGGCCTTGAGTGAAAGCTTTGTGCCGCATCGTGCTTCCTGTCCTGTGGAGACCCTAGCTCTGGACACAGGCCTATACTCTAGGGATGTTAATCTGCTGCAGTGACTTTCAGGGCCCTGCTCTAACCCTGTAACTGGAATGGGGCTGACCCACTCCTGCCTCTTCCTGGACCCTCATGGGCTTCTAGCTGGTGTCACTCAACCCCCTTGTCTCCTTCTGAGCCATGATTCCAAATCCTGGGGGCAACTAGGAGATTGCTGGGACCCTAGAGGGAGAACACCCCAGGCCGGGGCTTAGCAGTGGTGCCCACCTGGGCCTGGAGGTGCCAGGGAGCTGGCAGGGGTGTGTACCAGGGCTCGGGCCATCTCTCTCCCTCCTCTCCCCTTCCTCCTCCTCCCCGTTCCTTCAGGTGTGTCCTTCAGGCCTTCCCCTTGCCTCAGGCCCTTCTCTCCCCACTCTCCATGCAGAGGGGATGTAACCCCAGATGAGGTGGTGGCCCTAGTGGGCCAGGGCCTGCAGGAAGGTGAACGAGACTTCGGGGTCAAGATCCGGTCCATCCTGTGCTGCATGCGCCACGAGCCCAGTGAGTACGCGCTCAATCTGCCTGCGCCACCTGCTGCCTCTGGCTCCAACCTGTTCCTCCCCGTGCCCTGCTCCCCCTGCCTTGTATATCCCTTTGAGCCCCTCAGTAGGCCCTTGGGGCTCCTGGGCCAGCTGAGAACTTCCCGGTGGCAGAAACCTTCCTCACCACCTAGGACCCAGGCCTTGAGAGTCATGTGGCCTGTAGGAGGCTCAGAACCAAAGGAGCCTACACAGTTAAAAATCAAAGGCAGGTTCTGACTGGCTCATAGTCTTTCCCTTAAGGCTCTCTAGGCCTGGCCTTGTCCAGTTTGGGCCACAGAACCTGTGCAAAGGTATCATGTCTGGGACGTCTTGAGACTGACACTCATCAGATCTCCAGCTTTCAGAGTAAGGCAGTCCCACTGTGTGACTAGGGCAAGTCACATCACCTCTCTGACCTCACTCACCCAGGGTCACAAAGACACGATCCTACCTACCTCATTCCTCCATTCTAAGGACAAAAGGGACAACCAAGCAAAGGGCTAATGCCAGCCTGCAGGGCCTGTCTCTCCAGTCCTTGCAGTGGTCTGTGTGGTACAGGGACCACTGTTTACCCCCATTTGACAGATGAGGAAACTACGAGTGGCAGAGAGGGAGGAAGCCTCTGGCCTCTCAGTCAGGAAGGCAGAAAGGCCAGATTTGAACCCAGAGCCGTCTGCTCCAAAGCTGGTGGTTTTTGTAAAAACATTTCATGGTAACTTTATTGGTCAAGAGTGCGTAATATGTTATCAATACATTTAGTAATCCTAGGGTGAGATTCCATCTAAATGTCAAACTGTGTTCTTTGCCCTCTTAACCATGGGCCTTCATGTCCTTACCTACTGAGTGGAGGTAAGCAGGACTGCTCAGAGGAGGAAGTGAGAGAGAGCTGTCCCTGGTCAATGAGTGAGCCCAGGCTTGATGTGTGGCCTTAGCAAAGCCAGCTCTGTCCCCTGAGGTGGCACGTAGTGTCCGTCTGAGGGGAGGGAACATGGAAGTTCTGGGCGGAGCCAGAGGCCTGTGGTTGGGGTGTGGCAGTCGGGGTTTGAAGCATCCTGGCCGGCCCTCTGTCTTGCCTTGGCCTTGGGATGGGTAGGGGTGAGAGTGAGCAGGGCTGAGGTGAGTAGAACGGTGCTTTCAACAGCTCTGGTGACAAGCCGCAGGGCATCTCACCGACAGACTGGTCCCCCGAGGTGGTGGAGTTATGTAAGAAGTACCGGCAGCAGGCTGTGGTGGCCATTGATCTGGCTGGAGATGAGACCATCAAAGGAAGCAGCCTCTTCGAGGGCCACTTGAAGGCCTATGAGGTGGGCCCTGTGGGGATAGGGTGTGTGGTGCCGGGTGATGATCTCTTCCCCACCCACAGTAGGGAAGGGCCACAGGACAGTGAGCGTGGGTCCTTCTGGGTTCCCAAGTGCAACACGACTGCTTTGCTGTGGGTAGGTGCCCTTGAACCAATTCCCATGTGACAGAGAACTGCCCCACAGGGTTTTCTAGGCTGTAATCTTTATGGAATCAGATCACCAGGTCTTTTTTTCTTGGAGTTGCTGGATGGGTTTGAACTGTCATCCTTTCTGAGGTTAAGCCAAGCACTTAACCATTGGGCCATGAGGGCTCTGAAATGGAGAGCTTGGTGTATAGAAAAGACCGCACTTGACGCTGGGAGCCTTGGTCTGAGGCTGATTCTGCCTGTGATTTGCTGTGTGACTTTGGGCAGGACTGTCACCTCTCTGTGTGCTCATCTAAGTGGTGACTGAGTTGGAGCAGATGTCTTCAAGTTCCCTTCAGCCTAATGCACTTCCTGGGGAAGGGGTGGCAGGCTAAGAGTGGGTTCTGAAGCTCCACTCCCAGGTTCAGAACTGGCTCACTTTGTAGCCACTTAACCTTGACCATGCTACTCAACTTCCCTGAGCCTCTGTAACTCCCCACCTCCCCACACACCAATAAAATGGAAACTGTAATTCTGTGATATGTATACTGTACTGATTTGTATACAGCTGTAATAGGTATACAAATCAGTACAGTGCCTGACACATAGTAACTATCTAATAAATGTTAGCTGCCTTTAAATAATGATTAAGAAAAAAGACCACACTTTCCTTTCTGTTCAACCCAACCCAGCCTGATCATGGGGGTGGTCCAAGCCTGCCAACACTCAGGCCAAGGGTAGTGAAGGCCGGGCCCGTGAGGCCTGCCCTCTGGGCTGCCATGACCTGGCTCTTACCCTTTCAGGAGGCTGTGAAGAGTGGTGTTCACCGGACTGTCCATGCTGGGGAGGTGGGCTCTGCTGAAGTGGTGAAGGAGGTGAGGGGGCTGCTGGCTGTGGGACCCTTCCTCCCCGCTTCCTCCCTGCTTCCTCCTGTCCCATGCTTGGCCTCCACACTGCTTCTCTATAGGCTGTGGACAGGCTCAAGACAGAGAGGCTGGGACACGGCTACCATACCCTGGAGGACGAGACCCTCTACAACAGGCTGCTGAAGGAAAACATGCATTTTGAGGTGAGGGGCCGGGGATCAGGGAGGAAATGCCTTAGCCGCCTTGCCAGAGGGCTGAGGTCCCAGCAGCTGAGGGAGTAGGCTGGGGGCGTTAAAGCCACTGGGCAGCAGAGACAAGGACTGATGGGTTCATGGGATTCTGTGCCCAGGAGGCTGGTGACGAGCATGGCAAGAATGGTGCAGTAGGTGGGGTGCCAATGGCATGGAGATCAGCATGCCCTGGAGCTGTCCATGCCAGCCACACCCACACTGCCTGCTCTTGCAGGTTTGTCCCTGGTCCAGCTACCTTACAGGCGCCTGGAACCCGGATACCCCGCATGCAGTTATTCGGTGAGGCCTGGTCCCCTGGGGCCACTTCAGTTTGGTACCAGGAAAGCCAAGGGTGGGAAGGAAATGCAGGGATGGACACCAGCTCACGCTGAGTCCCAGGAGGCATGAGCGTCCTTATCATACAGATGAGGACTCTGAAGCTCAGAGATGGGCATTAACTTGACCAAGGTCATCCAACTACTAAGTAATACAGCAGAGCTGGGGGCCTGTCACTCACTCAGCTGCAGCAGAGTGTCCCACTGTCCTGAAGGGAACATCCTCAGTCCCAGTTCTCCCATGCTGCCTTGCGGGCATCAGGAAGATGAGTTCCTCCTGCCACGTGTTCCATGCTCCTGGTACCTGAGCCCTGGAGCCTCCTGGTACCTCTGGGCATTCCCTCAGGACCATCTTAAAATCTTCCCCTCGAAGGTCTGCCTCACCCTACTGCACCCCCACCCAGCAATCTAACTAGGAGGCTCCTGCCCTCCTTCAGGCTGTCCTGTGACTAGAGCCCCCAGGAGGGCAAAGCTGCCATTCCTAGAGCCAGGAGGAGGACAGTGAGAACACGGGGAACCACTGCCAGGCCAAGGCTGGCGGGCCTGCCAGCTTCTGAGAAGGGAAGGAGCTTGGGCTCTGAAGTCCTGATTAGGAGGCGTCCTGAGAACTTGCAGGGGCCCTAACAGAATGTGGAATGTGAAGCACCTGTGGAATGTTCAAGTGGAGGTTATGGAGGCACAAGGGCTGGAGAAAGATGTGAGAATCCTCTGCAAAGAGATAGGAAGTCTCAAGACGTGATGGTCCCAAGAGATACGCAGAGCAAGAAGGCCTAGAAGCCAGGGGGACAGTGACACTTAAGGGACAGGCAGAAGACAGGTAGGAGGAAAATCAATCAAGTTTCATTTCTGAGACATCAAGAGAAGAGGTCTCAAGAGAAGTCAACAGTATTGAATGCTGCTCCATAGTCAAGTGAGAACTAGGAAAAGTCCATTGGCTTTAACAAGACTGTGGCAAGAGGTCTTGCCAAGAAGTGTCTATGGTGTCTTGGAATAGCCTGACCTCACTGGGCCTGAGGAATGCCTTGGGCAGGGCACATGGCAGACAACTCTCCTCAGAATGTTGGCACTGAATGGAAGGCTAGAGATGGTGGTAACTGGACGGGGACATTAGCTCTTCACCAGGCCCTGCTTCTGCATTTGCCTGGCTTTGCTGAGGCACTAAACTTATAGGAGCCCTGGTTCTGGCCTGGTAAGATGTGGGCTTGAGTCTTGGGTTGCTAGTTACAGAGCCTCGAACAAGTCACTTAAGTTCTCTGGCTTTGTAATGAGAATGAGATCCTCCATGTCTAAGCTTACCATGAGGCTCAAAGAAGGGCGGAAGTCAATGTGCATGGGTTGTTTGCAGGACAGTAAAAGGGGGTGCAGCTCCTCTCTCCCCTTCCTCCTTATCCAGGTTTAAAAATGACAAGGCTAACTACTCGCTCAACACAGATGACCCTCTCATCTTCAAGTCCAGCCTGGACACTGATTACCAGATGACCAAACAGGACATGGGCTTTACTGAAGAGGAGTTTAAGAGACTGGTGAGTCGCATGAGCTGTGTCAGCCTTGACTCTGGGTCCTGGAAGTTCTCCTTCCTTCCTGAGTGGCCTGATTGTCCTGTCCAGGGGCTGGGACCTCGGGCAATGAGGAGCCAGTTTGCTTGACAGTTGAAGGCAAGCCAAACCTAGAGTTAGACGTCTTCCAAAGAGGCCACATCAGGCTGACTTTCTAAGATCAGGTTTTTTATTCTGTTTGCGTCAAGTGCCCTCAAAGACTCTGGAAGCTGGTCACCCCCTCCCCGGAAAGATATGCCCAGCTGTAAAATGTTTCACATACATTTCAGGTCATCCATAGATCCCAGGTTGAGCCCTGAGCTTGGGGGTTGTGATACCCAAGTCTCTCCTTGCAGGAGTGTCTCTCTGGCCCTCTCACCTTGTCTCCCTAAAGGCTTCTCCAACTCTCTTCTCACATCTTTCTATTATGCTGTGAGTGCTGCACTAGGAACACAGAGCCTCATGGTCTCTGCACTGGCACTTGCTGCTGGGGACTGTGGACAAGCCCCTCTCCCTCTGAGTAATTCCTCATATTCAGTGAAGATGGATTCTCACTAGACTGTGAAGGTCTCCCTTCTATGCTCTCTGGTTCCATGTTGTTTGCCATGCTGGCCTTTCCAGAATATCAATGCAGCCAAGTCCAGCTTCCTCCCAGAGGATGAGAAGAAGGCGCTTGTGGACCTGCTGTATAAGGCCTATGGGATGACAGCTCCAGTCTCTGCAGGTGTGTTCCTGTCTGGGCTTCCGAGCATCACCCTGCCCTGCCTCCAGACTGGTTTCTTGTGGGACTCTAAGAAAGATGCTCTTCCTCTCTGGGGCAGCACCAATGATGCTCCAAGAGCCCCTAGGTGGCTTATATTCTGTACAATGCTGGCTTGAGGGACAGTCCAAGGGGATGACCTTCTGAAGCCTAGTCCTGAAGGTCTTGGCAGTCTGGTGAGGGCTCTGTGATGGCCTAAAGCCAGGGGCAGGGAGCTGGGCCCAGGTCCTGGCTATGTCCTCCTTCCTTCCTGTGTGGCCTTGGCAAGCCACTCCCTTGCTCCCACCCTCAATCTCCCCATGTGTACAAGGGGGTTCCTCTCTGGCCCTGATGTTCTGTGATTTTGACAAAGTCCTGGGTATGACAAATTGCCTAGTCTTTCTGCTTCTCTGCCCTGGTAAGCAGGGCTGCACTCCTGAAGACAGCATGGGTGTCTAGAGCCCTTGCCCTGTGGAGAGTCTTCACAACCATGTCACTGACACTCTTGCCTTTGTTCCTTGCAGGAAAACTGTGACCTCACTAGCACCTGAAGCTCCTGAAGTCCGTGTACCTGCTTCTGTACACACATATACCTCGGTGTGCCATACAGCTCTCCCTCTGATTATGCTTCTGGGCTGGGACCAGGGCCCTTGCTTATGGGCTTGGTTGAATCGGGAAACACTCCTCCTCTGATGATTTGTGCTGTGGATCTGGTGCTCAATAAAGATGCTGAAGTTTATTATTGTGGCCGACGTGCGGTGGTCTCGGTGGGGTGGGGGTCAGCCTGGTCAGCAGCAGGCCCCACCACGCCCAGTGGAGGCTCTGACTGGGAAGCTCTGAGCAGAGCTTCCCGTGCTGGGAGATCCAAAGGCCCCAGAACCTGCCCGCCGGCCGGAAGACACTTCTCTCGAAGGGCTGTCTGCTTCACTGTTCCCTGAACTCTTAGCCCCCTCCTACTCTGGGCTGTAGAGGAAAACCCTTCCTTCTGGGCTCCTGAAACAGGGCTGGGAAGAAGAAAGGTCGAGGCGGAAGGTGACACACGGCCACTGGGCCCAGGGCAGTGCTGGCCTGTGTGTGCCACCAGCATCTCCTCAGTGCTTTGCTCCACGGAAGCCTGGGCGAGCAGCCCCCACCAGTCACCAGTCACGGGCTTTGGAAGAACAAGGCTCAGGCCCTGCTGTGCTGTTTTTAAAGGAGAATAATCACAAGCCAGTCTCTCAAACCACCAGTATTTATTTCCTGGACACAAGGTGTCGCTTCTCGATAGACAGGGCAAGGAGGTGGTCCGATGGTTCTAAACACAAAATCCCTTCCCTGGAAGGAGATGTGCAAAGCTCCAGAAGGGAGCCTGGGGCTGCAGAGACGGCCGGTGGGTTTAGCTTAAAATGGCTTCCAAAAAAACTGATTGTCGGCTCCCTCCCTTTCTGCTGAAAAAAAGTTTAAGGTATTTAAAAAGTTTAAAAGTTTTTTCTTAAAAAAGGGGTAAGGTGGTCCTGACCCTGAAGGTTGGGGTTGGAGAGCAGGGGTTGGGGTTGGGACATGGTCCCTGCCCAGGCCGCCTGTGGGGGGTGGTGAGAGGAGCTCCCGGGTGGGCTGCTCACACTGGTGGGCGGGGCCCAACCCGAGTCCCAGCGCCAGCTGAATAAATAACATCCTGCGGTTACAGGATCTAGAGAGGTTACAGGATCTAGAGAGCGGGCCTGGCACCTGGAGGAGGTGAAGCCTGGGTGCGGGCAGGGGCCCTTCCTGGGGCAGGGCCTCTCAGTCTGGCCTGGGGGCTGGTGGGCAGGCTTGCCCAGGAAACGGGGCTCAGAATAGGCTGCTGGGCCAGTGCCGGGGCTCCCCTTTCTTGGAGGGACAGCAGGTCTCTTCCAGCTTCCTCGGGCAAGGTCGGACTCAGGATGAGGTGGTCCCATCGCTGCTCTCAGGCTGGGTGCTCGCCACCTTGTCTGGGGTGCTCGCCTCACCCTGTCCTTCTGGAGAGGAGAGAAAGAGGAGGTGTTTCCCCAGGCATATGGACACATGTGTAAAGCATGGGAGGAAGGCTGGCAGGGCCCAGCCAAACTGATGGTGGTGGGTCAGGACAGGAGCTAGACTGGGCTGCCAAAGAGAACTCTACCCTGGTCACACGCACATACCTGCACGGTCCCTAGTGTAATTGAAACTCAGAGGCAAGGAGGGTCTTCAATGGCTGCTAAAGCCTCGGGAGAGGAGGTTGAGGACCTGGAGGCTGGCAGAGGGAGAGGACAACTAAGTCCTAGCACCTGACGGGCTCAGTGAAGGATGCTGTTCTTCTCAGACAGACACTGGCATCGAACAAGACAAGCTCGGGTGGGGGGGGTGCCAGAGTGTGGCCTGCATCACGGGCTGGGGCTGCTGTACTGTGCCAAGTCCTGGAGGCCCTAGGGGAGGGCCTGTGGGTGCCAACAATGTGCATCCTGGGGTGGGGTGGAGGGGACAGGAGGGGGTCTGACACAGCACACTGCTGGCCACCAACCAACTCCAATCGACCAGAGACCCTGGTGGCAGGCAGGGGTAGGGTGAGGGGTAGCACCAGGCTTAGAGGGTGAAACGACTTGCCCAGTGAGTCAGGGCATGAGCCTAGGTCCCCCACGCCCAGGTTCTCTCCACCCCCACTGCGGGAGATGGGGTGCACAGCCCTGCCAGCCACTGGACCATGATCCCAGGCCTTCCAGTCTTGGAGCCCTCACCGGGCTGAGTGATTACTGGGCCATTTCCCACGGGATGCCCTCCACAGCCCTGGCCTGGGAGCAGAGCTCAGTCAGCGTTGTGTTCTTGTACTCTAGTGACCACCATGTGATGTCGCCAGCTGCCCCACCCTACAAGCTCACCCAGGGGCCGTGTGGTCAACCTTGGGCAGACCGGCGCCGTCGCCACCCTTGCTTTCTGCAGGCTCAGCCCTTCCCCCTTCCCAGGAGTGAGGATCAGCACCCTGCGCCAAGCTCCAGAGCTGCAGACCAGGCAGGCCCTTTTCCCTGTAACCCTGCAGCTAACCCTGGAGATGTGATGGGGTCATGATACAGACGAGGAAACAGGCTCAGTGAGGGGACTGGATTTGCCCAGATCAAGCAGGGGAGCCCTGTGTGCCACCAAAGCCAGTGGCCCCTCCATTAGATTTAACTTCTTCCAATAAACCACTCTCTCTATGGTTTACAGGCCTGTATCAACATCACTTCATTTGGTTCTCATGACAGTCTTAAGAAGTGGGGTTGGTGGTAGTGAGCGGTGCAGGCCAAACCTGGGCATCTGGAGCTAAAGCCTACACCTGCTTGACCCTCCCCACCTGCCCCTCAGGCTCCTGCCTGTTCTAGAATGGTACCTACAGCCAGGGCTCAGTCTCAGAGGGTCCTTCTGGCCCTCCAGGAGCCTGACAAACCAGATTGTGCTTTGGGCAAACTGTCTAGACTGTGATGCCCTATTTGGCCCTGAGTCTCCTGGCCCTGCAAGAAGGGACACTGTCTCTTTAAATTCCCCAGTCATCTCCACCCTGCCACTCGCTTGCTGTGGGGCCTTGCAAGTCATTGCATCTCTCATCTCTTGGAGCCTCTGCTTCCTGATCCCTAAGGTGAGCATGGCCCCTCCTCCAGGAGGCAATGGGTGGCACCTGAAGGGCACACACATGGTCTGCTACCACGTGGGCATGGCTCCGCCAAGGGTAACCCTCCTCCGTGCCAGCTACGGCTCTCGGCTCTCCCGACTCACGGAGAAGGTCCTTGAGCCCTTTCCTCTCCAAACAGCACCTGGGGCCTGTCTCCCAGCAGGATTAGCAAGTGTGTGATTCCAGGCAGCTGGCATTTCTTCCCTGCTGTCATGGGGTTAGCACTCATTCACAGGCACAGGAGGGGGATACTGTGCGCCCCTGTGCTCCCCGAATGAGAAACTCTGAGGTTGTGAAGTATTAACAAACATGACCAGGCCATAGGCCTAGGGGCAGGGGGTGGCAGGCCAGGCCTTCTGAGCAGGCTAAGGGTCCCCGCCCTCAGCCCTGGCTGGACATCAGGCCCCTGGCAAGCTTTATGCAAATATAGCCCCTGGGGCCCCATCCCAGGCCTGGTGGATCTGAGTCTCTGGGGAGACACCTGGAACTCTGCATGCCCATCCCCTCAGTGAGTTCCCTGGACTGAGCCAGGTCCAGATGTGCCCGTTGGACCTACTAATTGTGTGACTTCCTGCCAGCCTCCTCCACCTGCATGCCACCACTAGTGCTTCACTTCTTTGTGGTAAGTTCTGTTCTTTCTTCCAGTCCCCTGGTGGGCATATGTGATGCAGGACCCAGACATCTCAGGATTCTCAGACAGAGAAACGGGGTGCTAGAAGGGCCTGGGTACACAGAGAGTGGCTACAACTGCTTGAGGCAGTGGGAGGTAGAGACAAAGTTTCCCAGAGCTGATGACAAGGATACAGAAGCTGAGAGAG